AGGTGCTGGTGCAAAGGTGGCGAGTGACGTAACAGTCTGGACCACCTGTTCATGCAGCTACCTTCTACTCTTTAGCCCTGCTGTGCCCATTGCTAGCTGTATCACATCCATTTTATGATGAACTGTTGCTGGGCTTTCTGACCTTACGACTTGGTAGATTCGATAGAATACAACTCACAATGAGCAGCTTTGGCTGCACGGTCAACTTGAGGATCCAAGCTCCGATGATCTGTCTCTTCCAGATGATCCTGTAGCAAACCAGGAGTTGTTTTTTGAAAAGTGTGTCATTCCTGGCTACAGATGGCATGGCCCTGCTCCAGAACTGCAGAAGTCTACCTTGTGGTTCTCCTGCTAGGCCTTGTCATAAATTCCATAGACATCTTTTCCCACCACTGATACCTCAAATACCACAGGTTCTGCTAGATCATATGGTCCATGCAGCATGGCTACTTGTATTAGTCTGACCTGCTGCCGAGCCTTTCCCTGTTCTGGGCTCCCATCAAAACTGGCAGCCTTTTGTGTCACCCATTATATGAGATGGAACAGCATTCCCAGGTGTTGAATATGCTGCCTCCAAAACCCAAAGAGGCCTACAAAGCATTGTGCTTCCTAGGGAGTGGAAGATGCAGTATTTTTCTTTTACTTTGAAGGGAATGTCACTGATATATCCCAGACCATTAGCCCCTAAAAATTTCACTGATATGTCAGGCCCCTGAATCTTCACAGTGTTTTCTCTCGCTCTCTGCTATGCATGTGTCTTACTGAAGCTTCCAATACACTTGCTGTTTCTTGCTCATCTGGCCCAATAAGTTGGTATCTTCAATATAGTGGAGAGTGTGATGGTTTAAAGATACCTAGGCAGTACAGGTCTTTTCAGACTAGGATGTGAGAGGTAGAGAGAATTAATAACCCTGGGGCAAGACTGTAAATGTATATTTTTGTTTCTTCCAAGTGAATATAACTCTTACCTTTTCTGATGGGGAAGGAAGGAAAAGAGAAACATTCACCAGATCAATGGCTATATACCATGTACTTGAGAACATGTTAATGTGCTCTAGGAAAGGTGCCACAGTTGGCACAGCAGCTGCAATTAGAACGACCAGCTGGTTGATTTTGCTGTTGTCCACTGTCATCTTCCGGGATCCATCTGATCTTTGTAGGGGCCAGAATGGTGAATTAGATTGAGCCATAATGCGGATCACCGTCCCTGCATCCTTTACTTCTTTAAGGATGGTATTTATCTTTGCCATTCCCTGATTACTAATGAGGTTGAGCATCTTCTAACATGCTTACTGGCTTATTTCCTTTTTTTCGAAATCCCATAATTCATAATCATTTGCCTTTTTTTAATGGTTTATCTAGTACTTGGCACTCACCTTCACTAAACTGTAAGCTTCCTGGGGCCAGAGACTATGTCTTACTTATGCCTGTGACCCTTGGACCTGGCCCATAGGACTCAATAAATATGGACTAAATGTAAAATTTTAACAAGAAATTAAAAGCAACGCTTGATTGGACATCCTGGTCTTCTTGAATCTTGAAACCAACCTCCTTAGCTTATGGGTAAACCTTTCCCTGACAGCAGTAATATCATTCTAGTTGATTTAAGAGAAAATACAATGTCATCCAATCAAACCATTGCTCTTTTGAAATCAAGGCAGAGTCACTGAACTAATCGAAGCTCCAAAAGCCTTGTTTTCTGGATGGACTCCCTTCGATAGCAATAATGGGCAGTAACAAACTGAGCCCTCGCCCCATATGGCTGTGATAAACGCATCCAAAACATATTACAAATCTCAAAATGAGGCTCTGAGGCCTGAGGCTGCAGCAAAAGAAAACCAAGGTTGACAGGCACAAGTGTAAGAACCTGATATTCTTTAAATGAAAAAAGGCCAGCTGCCTGTTCCTTCACCACTGAACACAATAAATACATTATCTGAGCTTCCTGGCATTTTTCAAACCTGGGACTCTCTAATGATATCTGTTTGGTCAACTCTAAACTTCATTTGTCAAAAAAAAATCTCTAATTTACTGAATTGTGGTGTTTTTTTTTTTTCCTTTGCTGGGGTTTTAAAATATTTTAAATTTTCTTATATATCTGTTTATGTAGAAATATTCTTATCTTTCTAAAATGCACATCTTATTAGGTCCCTTACCTTCTCAAAAACTTCTCATGGTCACCCATTAGGCCAAAGTCTAAACTCCTTCATGAGACCTCTAAGGCCCTGGCTAATTTTTTGGCCTCATTTCTCTCTACCATTCCTAAGAACCTTATGCTTCTACCACCTCATATTATTTGCCTTTACTGAAACAAAGGCATGCGTTTTATACTTCTGGACTTTTGTATGCACACTGATCACTCTGCTAAGAACTCCTACCTATCCTTAAGACTTGGATCAAATATTAACTCTGAGAAGACTTTCTTTCCCTTAGAATGATATTAATCACTCCCTTCTCTACTTTCTCTACATTTTAAATAAATATCTATAATAATCACCTAATATGCTATACTGTAACTATTTACCTATGTGTCTGTCTCCCCACCATACTAAGAGCTCCTCAAGGGTAGAAATTATATCTCATTTATTGCCCTTTCCCCAGTGCCAGTCTAGTCCTTGGCACACATTTATTTGCCAAGCAGATAGGCAACATTTGTTGAGTGAATGAATGAAAAGAGACTCAGTCCTTGCCTAAAGGACCAGGACTTCCAATTTAACCACCAGAAGAAAGGGTCAATAAGTTGCTGGAGCAGACTCTAATAGTATTCAATCCCCCAAATTTCCTCTAGCAACTAAACGAACATAGAAGACATATAGCTCAGAATAGCTCCATGAGTGTTCATGGAAATTCTGCACATGCATCAAGGAGAAAACAGCCACCAATAACACAGCCTGCTTTCCAAATCTCCAAAGCACATCTCTGCAATCATTTTACTTTATAACTATCACCACTGATGTCTTTCAGCCACAGAGCAATTTGTTTTCAACTTACTCTGGGTTCCTAAGTTAGCAGAACTTTTTGGTTGCTTATAAATGAAGCTTCCTACTTCCAGTCTCTCTCGACGCTCAAGCTATCTTCCTGAGCCTATTAACAAAAAACTAACCAGTTCCTGCTTGAAATCAGTCCATACGCCTTCACCTGTTGCTCAAGACCCTTCAAATTGGGTGCTGGTCCTTGCCTTCCTCTCCTGCTTCACCTCGAGCTACTCCCCTCTACTCCAGCCATATGTCATCTTCCAGATATCTCAACAGTTCTGAGTCTTTCCATACTCTGCTTTTTCTGCCAGACATTCACCTCAACCACCCAATTAACTACTTCTGCCCTTTAAGGCTGCACTGCACGCATGTATCACCTCCTCTAGGAAGTATTACCTGATTGTATTACATGCTTTCCTGTATACCCACAACTAGTCATTTAACTATTCAAAGTTATGGAGACCTAGCTTGTGCCAGGCTCTGTTCTAGGTGCTGGAAATACAGCAGGAAACAAAGACTACTTTCATGAAGCTTAAATTCTTTTTAAAAATTTAATTAAGCTCATTGAGGTGATAGTTAATAACATTACATAAGTTTCAGGTATACGATTCTATAATACATCATCCGTATGTTGCACTGTGTGTTCACTATCCAAAGTTTAGTCTCCTTTCATCATCATGTTTAATCCTCTATCATCCCCCTGCCTCCCTTGCCCTCTGGTACCACCATACAATTGTGTCTTATGAATTTTTGGTACAATCTAGTGGAGAAAAAGAATCAAAAGCACCACTACAGAACATGTGGATATGTACAGAACAATACACAGGCTATTACGGTAGGGGCAGGAGAAGGAATTAGGTAGAAAGTAGTATTTCAGAGAGAGAAAATAGGATGTGAAAATGCTCAGAGGGGGAGTGACATGGTGGAATTTCACTTTGTTTCTAGCCATAGAGAGGTGAATTTGAAGAGGTTAAGAATGAATGCAAAAGGACCAGTTAGGAAGCCATGTAGTCAATCTGGGCAAGAAAGGATAAAGTCTTGAAGTGGTACCAGAGATGGAGAAGAGACAAGAGATTCTAAATATATGTGAGGAGTAAAACCATCAGGATTGGTTGGGTGACAGAGTAGGAGAGGAAGGGTCTAGGTTGACCCTCAGGTTCCTAGCTGGAGTGCCTGGTTTGCCAATATTGTCAAATGAGAGAAGACATGTTATACCTGAGATGCCCATGGGACATAGAGGAGATATCATGTGAAACTCAGGGGTCAGTATTGTTTGAAGATACAAATTGGAGTGTCATCCACATGTAAACGAAAACGATGCTTAAAACCATGAGACTGGATAAAATCAACCAGGGAGACTGTACCCAATTAAACAGACCCGGGTTTTGAATCCTAGCTCTGCCATCCACTATCTGTGTGACCTTGAGTAAATTACTAAACCATTCTGAGCTTTGTTTTTCTCATCTTTAATTGGGTGTTATTATTATTTAAATGTCTATCACTGTGCTGAGCAAATGGTAGGTGCTTAATTATTATTCTAGCTCCAGTTACTTCCTGGCGGTGGGAAACTGAACAAGATACTTCTACTTGTAGCTCCTGCTAGGTAGATATATACAGTACCCCATGCTATGCATGCTCAATAAATGATTGCCAAATAAATGAAGAAATCTAAAAACTTAAACTATACCTAGTAATATAACGAGAGAAAGACTAAATAGGAGTTTTAAAAATGATATAAAGATCAATGTAAATGCTAATAAACTATATCAGGAAAAGTATTTAGCACTTAGAAGGTAGACGATGTTATCCTTCCCTTCTGTCCTTGCTTTTAACCCATCCCCCTCCCCTTTTTTTGTATTTTAAATCTCTCCCATTTTATTGGCTCCTTCTTTTCAGATTACAAACATGCTCTTGTCTCCCCTAACCTGAAAAAACCTTCCTTGGGTCTCGCTATCTCTCTCAAATTCTTGTCACCAACTATACTTTTTCTCAACCCAAAACCCTTTCCAATAAACAAGCCATATCTTTTGTTTTGGAAAAAAAAGTCTCAGTTTATTATTACTTTAAAAAAGCAAATATCATTTACATAGTTGTTCGAGCAGACCTATATAGAGGTATTTCATTTTAAAATCTATATGCATGTAATTTTTCTACTACAGTAATTCATTTCAAGAGGAATTTCATCATGTTATTATCTTCTATAGAGCCCTAAACTGAAAGAGCCAACATATTCAAATAAACCCCAAGATGTGGGGAAGCTTCAGGCCAGTTCCTCATTAGAAGCCTCAGCATGGGGGCTCCAGAGACCAGCGCAGAAGGTCTTCCAGGGAGAGCTGAAATGTTCAGATAAGTGAGTTCTGGGAAGAAGGGGTAGTTGGCTGGCTCCGGCAGGCTCACCCCTGGGGTAGAGAAAAGAGAACAGACAGGGGAGTTCTGAGAGGCACCAGAGCTATCTAAACTCAGGGGGATGGAACCGAGTGAGCGGCAGCAGTAATTGAGTTTCAGTTACCTGCAGGGTGGCGAAATAAAGTACTAACTTCATCTGCCTGACATGGGGGAAGTTTAGAGGTGTCCTTGGCACACTCGCAGTGAAATCCATCACCTTTTCGCTGTGTTGGGTGATGGCAACCGCACAGCAGCGCTTCCTAGTGACAGCTAGTGCATGTCCTGTTAGGCAGCACCAGTGTACTACAGCTAATGAAGCATTTCCTGCAGGCCTGTCTCCCAGGGCTCTCTGCATCCTCTGTCTGAAGGAATGGCACCATGGGAAAATTCAGCACAGCCAGCATCAGCCATCACCCAAACTCAAAAGAGTCTTTGAATGACATTTCCTTTCTGCTCAGCCCAGGGTTAGAACCATCTTCAGGTCACTTTTTGTGGGTCTGTACAAACGTGCCGACCGGCAGTGAGCCGTTCTTCACCTGAGCCCGGATTTCAGCTCGGTGCTTTAATGTGAAGACCAGGGCTCTCACCGTCCGCCGGTATGGCCCATTAATGAGGCGGGAGCAGAGATGAAACGTTTCCCGCTCAATATTTTCAACCAGTAGGTGATCCATCTAAAAAACAGCAAAATTATCAAATTAGGGCCTTGCATTGCATACGGATTAAAAGCGAGAGAGGCTGAAGCACTCTGCTCAGAGGCCTCCATTAATCAACTGAAATTCAAGGACATCTACTTCCTGTCACAAGAGAAACAGGAAGAGCAAATTAATTCCACCCTGGCAATTAAGGAACAAGGCCATGTGCTTTGTGACAGGGACCTCATTCACAACCCCTGCCGGGTGGTAATATTTGCCATTATAACAGGAAACTGGCCTGAACTAAGCAATGGGTACCAGCCCCGTACTTTACCAACCAGGAAACGAAGACCAAGGATAATAAATCAGTATAACAGTTTATACTTTGTTTTGTTTTAAAAGTGCCGTTTAACCCCTTACGGTATTTTAGAAACACTGGGTCTGGATCTTAATATGTGTGTAGAGCAGTTATAAATCACTTTTCACATTTAATGCTCACAACTCCTATTATTTCATTTTACAGACGAGGAAATGGGTTAAAACATAAAGATTCAAGGTCTTATAATTACTAAGAGGCAGAGCTGGGACTCTGACCCAGCTCCAAGGTTCATGTTTCTTCCCTTTCGCCATACTAACTGCCCTCTCAACATTTTGAGACCAGTTGAGTTCGGGTGACCCTTGCAGGGTCACCTAAGCAGAACAAGCTTGGGAGATGGAACCTGTAGTGATTCTAGGGTGGTCTGGCTCAGGCTCAAGCCCTCCTGAGGTCACACGAGCAATCAAAGCAGGACAGGTCTGGGACCCTGTTCACATGGTCTGGATCCAGGCCAGGCCGGGCTGCTTGTCAGGAAGCCCCTCAGCTCTACCTTCCTTTCCAGACTCATCTCCCACTATTCCCCTACCCAGTCCTGACCACAGCCCAGCCCGTGCCTGCTCAGCTGCTTTTATATACCTCTATGCCTCTGGCCAGGTACATGTTCCCTCTGCAAGGCACACTTTCCCTAAGAAACACATTCCTATTTGTATGTCGAAGCTTAGCTAAAAAGCAAAATGCAAACAAAACAAAACAAAACAAAAAACAAATCCTAGCTTAGAGGACTGAAGTTCTTTGAGCTGTCACAATGTTCTGAGCTTGCCTTAGTCATTATTACATTATAATGATCTATTTTTTGTGTGTCTCACCTGACCTGATAGTGAGTTCCTTAAATACATGACATAAATTTCTCTCACTGACTTTTTTCCCCTTCATTAGAATATTTATTCGGCATTTACTATGTGCCAGGGTTTGTGCTTGGGCAGAGGAAAAAGCAGCAAACAAGGTGGGCACAGTGACTCCATGGAGAATATGGTCTATTAAGAGACAGGCAGTAAATAGAGATTATAAGAGTACTGAGTGCTAGGAATGGGGAAAGGAAAATGTGCTGGGGTGCAGAGCTATGGCAAAGGGACCCAACCCAGGAGGGTAGCACCTGGCTTCGGGAAGAAGTAATGTCTAACCTAGGACCTGGGTAATGAGCAGGATCTGGGTAGGTAAAGTGGGCATCTGCTTTGTGATAAATTCACTGAGCTGTACATCTATCTTTCGTGTACTTTTTCGATATATGTACTATACTTCTATTTAAAAAGAAAAGTTTAAAGAAAAAAATGCACCAAAAATAAAAAAGGATCACCTAACATTTGATAAAATATCCCAACATAAGAAGCAGACACACCAAAACAAACAGAAGGAAGAAACTTGGAAGAAATAAGGACCAAGCAGAGAACAGAATAAGATTGAGAGAGAGAGTGACAGAGAGAATGAATATCCAGGCACAGATATCCGCTGAGGTGTAGCAGATAAAAGATGTTCAGGGAAGTTTGGTCCTGATGACTGATCATCTAGGCCTGTGCTGGAGTGAGCAGATTTGGTGACATGGCTCTCCTTGAGCTTTCCATGGCCTCCTCGGTGGGCAGTGAACTAGCCCCTGGCCTGAGGCAGCCCTGGTAGCAGATTACTTTAGGAGGCTGGAATGGTGGCCGATGTCTGCCCAGCACATGTCCAGCAGCATTTGCCAGAGCGACTCCTTATTCCATTGTGAGGATGGTTAGTCACTGACTGTTTAGAGATTCACTTAGTTTAACTGTGAAGAAAAAAAGTCTTTTTTTTTTTTTTTTTGGAGGGGACTGGTTGTTAGGGGAAAGAGCGTATAATATGTACCTTGCAAAACAGGTCATGGCCATTCCATCAAATTGCTGTATACACACAAAAATAAAAAGAACTCTGAGAATGCCTTGGAATTCACATAACTAAATACTCATACATACTTTATTCAGCAAATAGTTACTGAGCTGCTACTCTGAGTCTGGCCTGAGTAGTAGGGTATTGGGGACACTGAGCAGAAATGCCCAGACCCCTGACCTCCAGGAACTCACAGCCTAGAAAGGAGACGGCATGTACACAGACGACCACGGGGTAGTGGAATAGGTGCTCTACCAGCAAAGTGATGGGAATCGGGAGCAAGTATCTAACAATTCTCATGCATGCTTCTTATTAAATGAAGGCCAACTGGAATGAAGAAATGAAGAAAAACAGTGATATTAAAATGTAAATTATAAGGGAAAATGACTCACCACGAACGCTTGTATATAACAAGTTCATTGCACAAAGTGAAAAATGCCTATCTTACGGATTTTAATGGATTACCCAAACCTATCCAAGTTGTTGAGTCTTTTCCAATGGGTCGGTCCTAACCTGGTGATTTAGGCAAGCCTTTTTGGGTGAAAGGACCAGAGTCTCACTGAGACCTTGAGAAAAAAGCGTTTTGTTGTGAGATGCATCTATAGGATGGGAATGGAAATAGGAACACTGTAAGAAACCTAGGGCTTTATTTAGGAACCATATCCCTTCTCTGTGTCTCTCATGATCTGCCTGGTCTCCTCCTCACAGGTTTTTGCTCCTCTCCATTTGCCTTACTCATTACCAATTCCAACTGCCTTATTCTTTCCCCATATTCTACACATCTCTACCTACAGCTTCTGCTTCCTCATAACTCCAACATCCCTTCTGTTTTAACACTCCCACTGTTGCTTTCTTAGTATTTCGTAGTCCATATTTTTCAAGACACAGAGAATCTGATTTGTCTTCCTTATCTTTTTGTACCTGTGAGTTATTCAGTTGTCCAATCTTGGACAAATTGGCTATATCTGGGAGAAGATATAAAACATGACCACCTAAAGCTGTCTTTCATCAAGGATTCCGGCCTCAGTGGGAAATGGTGTCATAATCAATTAGTGATGTCTGCCACATCTGTAAGCCCATTAAAAGCAAGAGAACAAGGTCTTCTTCATGTGTTTAACTTAAGTGCAGAACTTCCCACGTTGTGCTGTAACTGTTTATTTGCAGTATCTATCTACCTGAGAAGACTGTGAGCCCCTCTAGGGCTAATACTGTGTTGGATTCGCTTCTAAATTCCCCCTGCCTAGTATAGGTATTGGCAAATAGTAAGTGTTCAGTAAATATTTGTGAGATGATTGTCCTTTTTCTCCCATGTAACCACCCTCCTTTCCTGCTTTTTCACTAACATCCTATACGTAGCAGATAAGATGAAACATGATGTTCCTATTTTATATGTATTTTTTAGTTAGCGGAATCCTATCCCTTTACAAAGGCCAGCTCAATTGCCATCTCTTCCATGAAACCGTCCCAGATTCCTCCATCGGATTTCACATTCTGTTCTTTGTGTATCTACACCACTTGCTAGTACCACTATTTCAGATATATTTCATCTTGCCTCATATTAGTCATTTATAGGCTCTTAGCCAGGGGACAGTAAGCTTTCTTAAGATAGGGCATGTAACTCACTTATGTCTGTAGTCTCCTCTGACACTAGTAGCAGTAGTACTAAACATTTGTTGTACTGAATATCTACTGGAAAAAAAACTTTGTGTGAGTTTTAGCACACATAGTATGATTGGATTTGTACGTACCTACCTACATTCCTTTTTGACCACTTGAATACATTTATGAAAGAGCTGGTCAAAGCCAGAGGTGCAGTCTGAGGCCATTAAACAAAGAAAAAACTAACAGTCCCATATGGGGATGTACCCCTGACCTGGATCTCATTAGCACCATCTGACAACCAACTGGGCCAACCAGCCAGTGTTTCATAACTCTTAATGATACAGGCTCACTTTGAGAATCGGGTTCATTTTTTTTAATGACATAATAGGAAAATGATCACAGGCCATGAGGTAGGAAGGAGAGTGGATAATGAGGAAGGGGAAGTAAGAGAATGACACCACAGGGGACGTTCATATGAGGGAAGATCTAAAAGACAGGGAAGAACAAAGAAGATCCGGAAGAGAGAAAGTAAAGGGGAATGGAGCCACAGTCTCAACAATGGAGTTTTTATTCATCTGTTCCATTATTCCTAGAACAGGAAACAATCCATGAATCTAGAAAGCATGATCTGTAGAGTAATAAAGAGATGCATTTGGCTGTGTGTGTGTATTCATCATCTGTGGCTTTCACTACTAAAGAATATGACTGAAACAAACAAAATCCCCAACTCTTCCTTATCCTTAATGTAATGAGTACATCTGCAAAAACGCATACTAGGATCAAATTGTAAAGATTTTTTAGTCATTGGGCCAATAACTTACCCAACGGTTTTTACTAATGCCTAATAAAGTACATTTATGGAGATCTGATGTCTGATTTGAACGTTCTCAACATTGGTTACTGTCAAAAACCAGATAGTGGATTAGGTGAGTCACTGATTTACCCTAATATGGAAATGTTTCAGATGATGATAGGTGCTAAGAGTTAACTTTCTGTAAAAGTGTTTATAATTTTCTGACGTACCAAACTGATAAAATTACTATCAAATACTGTTTATGAAAGGAACAGATTGATTGATTTTTTGGGGGGTGGGGGTGGGGCCAAAGACAGTAAGATGCATACTTTTAATTTTTTAAATTTACTCTTTGGGAATGAAACCATTCAGCTATGCTTAATCTGATATTTCTTCCAATTACGTTGGATAGCACTAACGAATGTATCACTTTTTTAACTTAGCTTTGTAACACTTGAGTGCTTACCACTTGATGTGCCATTTAAAGGATAATTAATGGATAAACTAAAAGGATAATTATTATGGAGTTTAATACAGCAGGCAAACTGCTCATTAATCCTTACAAGCATTGCTTCGTTATTATCATTTACTTAAAAAGATACCACAGGGAACTGGTATTTACCACCACATTAACTACATATTATATACCCACACTCTATGTTTCCGTAATAATTTTGGTTTATTTAAAAAATAAACTTTATTTAAACTACCAAATAGCAAGTCTTGCTGACTAATCAATACTCTGGAAAATTAGACTTACAATCTTCATATTTTTTCTGTCTTTCAAGGGTTTAATAATCATATTAATGCCTCCTTCAGGAAAAGGTAAGCAAACTTAACAGAATAACAAACAATTCACTGACCTATCAAACAGACATCAAAAATTATAACAATGAAAAAATAAAGATATATAGAAAAGGATATACTAAATGACACTGATATTGATCAAGATTAAAAACACAACACAAATGTAAATAATTATCAATTTTGTACTATGGAACATTTGGCATATAATTGGCTCTTAATAATCAGGGATAATCATAATTTGCCCAGCATTCATTTAAAAAGCTATAATAATTTACCAACAGAAAATACACCGAAATGCTAACAAGATTATGTCTGGGTGCTAAGTTCAATGATGATCTTATTTTCCTTTTCTATATTTTTCTCATTTTCTATCATAAGTTTATATTTAAAAATAAACAAAACTCAGAGGAGAGAAAGAGCAATTAGGGGAATCGTTTTATAAACTATGTAAATGTCTAATCAATGTACTGTATATTTGAAACTAATAAAATAAAATTAAAAAAACAAACAAAAAGCCTAAAACTTTATTTTAAAAAGGTAAACAATACACTACAAGTCCATTTGCCTTCTGTGGATGCATAATTGAAATAGAAATGTTATAATATTTTTTTCAGAGAATGCAGTAGCAGATCTAGCATTTAAACCAGACTTCTGAAATGCTTCTTTTGTTAATAATATTAAATTATTCTTTTTTATAGGGATATCCTAAGAAGAAAAAATATGGATGTTATATCTGATTTTCCCAGAGTATTAATTGACTTATAGAATTTGTTTGATGATGACGGTGATTAATATTATTGTTAATGAGCGAAAACCCTCTAGCATGTATACCTCAAACCACTAATATCATCTGAACTGTTGGCTATGAAGATGATGGGAATTATGTCTAGCCGATTGATTATATGCTTTAAAACTAAAGTTATGAGTGTGGACAAAAAAATGGGGGAGTAGAGTCTTTTCAAGAGATGCTATTTATTTTGCCATTGATATTCCATAAGAGTTCATCCCAGATTTTTTGCTTCAGTGGGAAGGAAAAGAATTTTAAATGGGAAGGAACCAATATTTGTAAGTGACTTCTAATCACCAGATACTATACTATTCTTTTGTATAAATGGTTCATTTACTCTTTCCAGTAAACTTAGGTAGTAGGAATTATAATAATTTTACAGATAAAAAATCAAATCTTAGAAATGTTGAGGAATTTGCATAAGGTGCCACAACTAGTACATTTTCCAGAGCCGGAGTTTGAATACAGGTCTTGCTAATTCCTTTCTATAACACTGTCTCCCAGAATGATTATAAACCCAGAACCCTTAAAGAAAAGCAGTTGGAATAAAGCCATGGCACTAAGACTATGCAGGTTCATTATGAAAAATGTGAGGCCACTTAACCAAGAGCGCTTAGTAATCACATTCCAACCAGACATTACCTCTAATTCCAAGGCTTCTGAGATTAATTTCTGGGCGTTTTTCCTAAATGTCTCGGTTTTGGGATCACTTCGTACTTCAATAGAAGGTTTATTAGAATGTTTCTCAATGAAAGTTCTCCACTCAGTGTAAACTTCTCTGGCGAGACAAGCGACTTCTGAATCTGAGTGTTGACGCATCTTGTTTACAGTATGACCTAGAAAAAGATGAGAGAAACCAAAAGTTGTTCTGTCTTCTTCTGAAAAGTTCAGGACTAGATGGACTGATGTGTGTGGGGCACCTAGTCATTCACATACCTAAGGATATATTGGGTCTTGTGGAAATGAAGACCATTTCTCCAAGGCTGAGATAACAAGATAATCACTGGAGGAGAATCAGTGGATTACCCAATGCAATAAGTCATAGAACAGAAGCATGATCAATAGATACTTAAAACAGAACAACTAAGGTACCAACTCCTTAATCCACAAATTGCAATAAAAGAAAATGAATTAAGCATTTACCTTATCATTTCGATACATATTATATTTCAGGACGACCAAATAGCTCTAGTTATTGAGGGAATGTTCTTTATTCAGCTAATAAATGTGAAGAGATTGACCGAATTTAAAGAAATTTCTAACCCATGATGAAATAATTCACTCAAGTAATAATCATCAGTGGATGAAATCATTCAATGAAAGGTTGATGGGGAACTTCATAATGGAGGCATGAGCTGTCATCACTTGAACCACTGATCCATTAGCATTCTTAGAGTGAGATTATGAGACAGACGTAGCCCTCCACAACCCTACCTATGACATATTCTTGCACCCTCCTCCCAAAGAAAAGATGAACCAGAATCCAACGAGTCATTCAAAGCTAACCTCTCGTTTATAGAAAATATGGGAGACAGAGGAATAAATTAAATTATAGTATGAGAAAACAGACAAGTCCAGAATGTGGCACATTCTACAGAAAAAAAGACCTGGTTTCTATAACAGTCAACAGCATTTTTTTAAAAAATGGAGTAAGGTCACGGACTGCTATAAATTAATAATCTTTTGAGTCCAAACTACCAAATGTGTGATATGTTTACAACCCCTTAATGCCATCTTCTAAAGTAGCCAGAGTGGCCTTTATTTAACTTTATTATATTCCGTTTTAGGGAGATTTTTTTCTAAAACATAAATCTAATTTCTCTGCTCCATTTAAATCTTTCAATCCTATATCCAAACTCCTATCTTTAAGTCACACAAGTCCTTTCCAAATCTGCCACCACGCACCTGTTTTCTAGCTTCATTTCCAGCTACTATCCCACTGTCGCCCTATACTCCAGCTACTTGCAGCTACTGAAACGCTTCAATATTTTTTCTTGGCTCTATTTCTGAATATATACTCCAATGAACATTCTTTCTGCCTGGAATACTTTCTTCCCACTTTATCCAGTTAACTTCCACTCTGTCTTTAAGACTCAGTACAGGAGTCCCCGCCTCTATGAAGTCTTCCTTAATACTCCTGGTCCTGGTTGGTACCTCTCCCCTGTGCTCCTGTAGCACCTTGGGCTTTTGTTTAACACAATAATTATTATAATTAGTTGTAATTAGAACAGTTTTATCTCTTGTGAGTGCCAAAGAGAGCTCCTCAAGGGTAAGAGCTTTGACATGTTCATCTCTGTATCTCTAGCAGAGAGCACAGTGGCAGGAGGTAGGGATCAGGAGAGTAAATATTGGTGGAATGAGAGGCCCATATGAAAAATAACATATTTTTATTAAAATATGTAACAAGATTTGAATAAAAGGGGTAAATTACCATATTATGTAATGGAAAGATTAGTAAGGATGCCAATATAGAAATTTATTCGCAGATTTAATGTAATCTTAATAAAAATTCTCGAGAGGCTGTTTTTATTAGAATATAATTATTTCTAGACATATTTTTTGAAATACAAATTTGCAAAAGTATAAAATACTATTTTGAAAAAGAGGAATTATGAGGTATAAGTAGCCTTATAAGAGAGTAGAACATATTATAAAGCAACTATAATTAAAATTATAAGGATTAGCATCAAAAAAAGATGGACCTATTGAATAAAAATTGAAGCTCAGGACTAGACCCTAATGTACATAAGAATTTAATATATAATAAAAGAGTTATCATTGAACAAATAGAGGCAGAAAAAGGATTTAAATTTGGAGAAATGGTTGAAAACATTTAGAAAGTTTCCCAAATTATGCCAACCTCGTAGCCTAACACTTAATGATTCATTTACTCTCCACACATTTGCTTAAGGCCTACTCTTTGCACTGGGTACTATGCTAGGCACTAGTCACATGCAGAGCTGAACAAAAAAATGACCCTACTTTTAAGGTTCTGGGAAGAACATCCTGCAGGTAAAAAAGAAATGTAACTCTGAAGGGAAGACAAGTCTTTAACTTCTCACTCTACCCAATTATCTGCCAAGAAATTTCATCTAGCCTCTCTCCTGCCCAGGGAAAAGAGTACATCAACACTCACCACAAGGGGAAGGAGGAGGAGGAATGCAGAGCACTCATCAGGAATGTCTCAAGGTGCTTCCTAGCTGGCAATGAGAATGAGGTGCTTCTGAAACACACAACACTTAAAAGCTGGTCACTACTTAATACTTCCCTTTTCTCAGTAGAGTTCTCCATATCCTTGAGATTATTTGTTCAGCGAACAAATTTTTGTGTTATTGGTTATGATTACAGATACTAAAAATAAAAAGATAAACGAGACACTGCAGGAACTCAAAGAACTAAATTCAGGGCATTGTAATATTTTTACTAAGCACCCACTTTATGCTTTGTGTTGAGGGTACAGAGATGAGAAAGACACAGTCCCTAGAATTTAACCTACACTCACCCTGCCAAAGTGTGCAAAGAAGGTATGTGTACGAAAATATTCATTCCGGTATTGTTTGCGGTAGTGAAAAGCTAGAAACAACCTACGAACTCATCATTAAGGGTCCAATTTGTTAAATAAATTATAGTCAATTCAAACAATAAATGCTTTGTAGCCCTTAAAGACTAGACTAGCTCAACATGTAGTAACATGGAAAAATAATCACTTTATTCAGTTAAGTGAAAAAAGTAGGTTCTCAGAAGAGCACAGTATAATACAATATAAGCCAGTATTTATTTTTAAAATTACATGTGTGTACACATATAAACACATATGTTTGTTTATATAGAGAGGAAAAAGTCTAAAAGAATTTATAATGAAATCATTAGTGGCTCTCCTCTGAGTAGTGGGACTATGTGTATCTATGCAGTTCAGCTCATAATCTTGTGTGTTGGCTCAACCTGTAAGCAATCCTAACAGTGCAGGCAGGCTGTGTTATAATAGAGGTGCATTCAGGTTTCTTCAGAACAGAGAGCGTTCTCTTCATGTGTTCCCCATATTATCCTTTTCTCTCAAGAAAGGCACTGAGAAATGAAGACACAGAAGTCTCTCAAACAGAGTCCTTCTACCTGTGGAATCCAATAGACCTTCTCCATCCTGATGTTACGCGATCCCTCTGTGGCGTCTCACACTGCTGCCTTCCTCCTTCTGAAATATTCACTTCCACCGCTTTGAGACACAACCTGTTACTGGTTCTCCTCTTCCTTCTCTATCTCTTCTGCTGGCTGCAATCTCAACCTTTAATTACCTGTGAACCCCACCTGCATTGTCCTTGGCCTCTTCCGTTCTTTCTTCACCTGCCTTCCCATGAATAATCTGTGGTCCAACCACCATCTACAAGCAGATCACTATCAAATATGTATCTCTACCTCAAAGGCTCTCACTAAGCGCCAGATCCAAATATCCAGTCCCCTAATGCACATCTCTACCTGCTTATTTTGTAAGCACCTTTAACTCAATGTTGCTATAATAGAAAATGGAATTCATTATTATCTCCCTCAGCCCCTCTTCCTGTATTTCTTGTTATACAATGGCACGACCATTCCCCCATCATGTTAGGCTTCTTAACATTTCTTATATCTCTTTCTTTTCCTCTTGACCTCCCTCTTCAATCTCACTGCTGCCCTGATTCAGGCCCCATCACCCTTCCACAGGTTTATGGCAATGATTTACTAACCAATCTCTGTTCTGTCTAGTCTTCTTCCATTTAGTCTTCTTTACAGATGTCAAAAAAAATCTTTTTAAAACACAATTTGATCACATCACTCCCTCACCAAATCCTTTCGGTAGCTGTCTATACTGCCCTCAAATTAATTTCTAAGTATAGCATTCAAACTCTGGATGACTTGAACCTCTTTGGCCTTACCTTTCGCCATGCTGCCTTCTTTCCTCCTTCCCCTCACCTCCAGCATTCCTACCCCTTTACCTCCATGCACTAAGTTCTAGCCATAGAAAGCAGCTTGCACATCCTTATTTTGGGTCAGGCTGCCTGGCCTTCTTATATTTCTGTGCCTTAGTTCACTGTTCCCTCTGCCTAGAATATTTAAATGCTCACTTCCCCCTCTAAACTGCAAACAGCTTAAGGGCAGAACCCAATCCTTACTTTGAGTTCTATTCCACGTTTCCAGAATAGTATCTAGCAGAGAAAGATCAATAAATGTTTGCTGAACTGAATCGAACAGTTAAATAAAAACAATCGTATTTAGTTTTCAATTGTTTTTTTACTTACATTTGAATATGGATGTATTTGATTGAGAAATTCACACAATTGCAAACAAAATAACAGAATGAAACTGCAAAGAATTTAATCCAAAGGTACTGGGAAATCAAAAGTTTCTAATCCTTACCTGTTGCTAAGAATTCATCCTGCTTGCTACTCCAGATTTTATATAAATTATCTCATTTAATTTTTATAACTAAACAATGAATTAAATGCTTTTTTTATATCTCTTTTTATAAATGAAAAATTGAAACTTAGCAAAATAACTGCCCACAGTCTTAAAGCTGGTAAGTGTGGAAACCAGGATTTGAATACAAGTGGCCTGACCTCAGGACCTGTACTAACACCCTGTACTTCTCTGTTATCAGGGACTGGCACACAGGGAGTGTTCACCTTCTTGGTATTCCCAAATCAGAAGAGCAGAGGACCTAAGAAGTGGCCAAAGGGCCTAAGGCTTCCACTCTCAGGGCAAGGCAGTGGAGTCAGTGCTTCTGGCCTGCAGGGGGCAGTACATCCCATAGATAACTCCCACAGGAACCCCACCCAGACTGGTCAGGAGGCTCTGCCAAGACCTA